TCAATCAGACCCAAACTCATCCACTAATCCATTTGTATTTTTAGTGTCTCCAGCTTTTTATGAAACTCCCAATAAATATGATTGGTTAGTCAATTTTATATAATGTACAGTTTATGTAATATTGATATTCCATGCTTTACATTGCTGAATATTTTTGCCTTAATTACAGTTGTTCATATTCACATCCAATTTGCCTAATGTTGTGGGAGTTGATAAATGCCTTATACACACAGTACACTTTAACAATTGGATAATGTGTCATAATATTCTTATTTTTAGTGACGTGTTCCTGAGAGTCCTTGACATCATATTAAAGCAGCAACTAATGATAGATGAATCAATTGCTAATGTCACCAAAGTAAGAGAACAATAACCGTATCAATTGGTAAGGGACTACAACTCATTTTTTTAGGTTCTCAATTTTCTCCATAATTATGTTATTGTCAAGAGTTAAGTACTACTGTTTAATACTGGAAGCTACACCAATTCTTCTTGGACCACTCCTCTCATTATTCTTAAGGATGGGGCCATCCCCCTCCACTCAGAACTGTGTTGTGATTATTAAGAAAATATTTAGGAATTATTTGAAACTAACAAGAGTCATGCAGATGAATTACCATGGTAAATAGTTTTTTTTTCTTTATATTTTTATGTTTTTTTTTTATTTTTAGTTCAAAGTTAATGTCAGTGATACAAGAGTATCTTGTCAGCAATTTATTAAATAATAAGGTAAAGTGAGTGTGACATAGTGTTCACTATTTTGTTACTTAAATTAGCTATAAAGTTTAAGCCTTTTAATTTTAAGTATTTTTATTCACATTGTATACATGTTTATCAGAACTCGTAATTTTTGATATTGTAAGCAGATTGACATTATAAATAGAATCTAGATTTCAATTGATCATGGAAGCATAATAGCATCTACATTTATACTTTGTGTAGCATCAATCCAAGCTATTAAGAAATTGTTATAATTTTATTTACTAGTTTTATAATTGTTTAGGAACATATATTCAGCCCCTTGATTGCTATAGCAGCACATTATCCCACCCTCATATCCAAAGCACTGTCTCTAGCTAAAAAGCTTGTTGAAGAACATGAAAGTAAAACCTGTCGTCAAGATGATTTATTGTGGTAATGAATAAGTATTTACATCATTACATGTACATGGTTATTGTTGTCATTTTAAAATTAGGAAGCCATTAAAGAAATTAGAGGAGGCTGTCACTGTGCCAAGAAATAAATTTAACAAGACATAATCCTTTTTATGCAACTATTACTGTTTATTTTTAAGTATGCTAGAAATAGCAATT